TATATATATATATATATATATATATATATATATACATATACATATAGGCATTTTGAACCCTTCCCACAATCTTGCAATATTCTCAACAATGTTTCTAAAGTAAAGGCTCTAAAAGAGCACAAAATGTCATGATTTCAGCTCCCTGCCTCCTCCGCTCTTTGCCACCTACAAGCGCTCTTGGCCACGCCCACTTCTCCTCTCTGCACGGAGAACAGCTGATCAGCTGCAGCAGGAAGTTTATCCTGCAGTGTGGGCTGCACAAAGCTGCAGGAGGAAGCTTTTTCTGCAGCTCTGGGCTGCACAAATGTGCAGCAAGTGCTAAATAATTTAAAATAATTTATTTTAAATAAAAATTCCATGCCGATCGTGCAGCTCATCCATCAATCAGCCAATTGTGTATTATGTACAATCTTATTTAGAAAAACCATGATAGAGTGAGTCCGCGATAAACGAACCGCGAAGTAGCCAGGGTCTACTGTATCCAGAAATCATAAGTAAAAAGTTATTGTTTCATTGTTTTAGCTCCAATAGTTTATGAAATAAGTGAGTTTATAAGGTTTTTAATTTTCGAAGTATATTCATGAACTCTTTATTCATCCCACACCCTGAACACCCAGAAACATCCGTCCCAACAAGAAAATGAGCTGAAGGAGTGCAGTCGACCAAACAGCATGGCCTCCAACGCCTCCTTCCACTCCACTCAGGATGACTTGGAGTCAGCGTCACATGTCCCACCTACAACCCAAAAGGAAGGAGGAGACCATCCAGTAGCTGTTCCTGCTAAACTGCAAGAGGATGAGAGCGAAGGAAGCAGAAACAAGATTGGAGTGTTGAAACAAGCACTAGAGAATATTCAGATAAAACTGCTTGAAACCAAGAAGGAAAACCAGTTGCTTCAGGCTCAGCTGAAACCTGAGCAAGGCAGAGGAAGAGACGAGGGTGGAAGTGGAAGAGAGACAAGAAGAGAAGAAGAGTTGATGGAAAGTTTAGCAGAGCTTCAGGCAAAGTTGACAGACACCCAGGAGAGATACCATCAAGCTTTGGAGGAAGTAGAGGATCTGAAAGTGCAGGTGGGAAGAGGAGAGGGTGAACTGACGGAAAAACAGGAGGTCCAGAAACGATTGTTATCCACGCTTGAACAGGAGGTGAAACAGCTGAAGTCTCAGCTTGTCCAGCTCAAGTCAGAGAGAGATGACGCAGCTCAGCGAATCATACAGTTGGAAGAGATGCTGAAGAGAATGGAAGAGGACAGAGGGGCGGAGAAGGAAAAGGAACAGATGATGGCACAGATTGAAGAGGTATACATGGAGGCACAAGAGGAAATTAGGATTCTTCAGGTAAAAAAAACAATATTATTCTTTAAGCATTTTCTAAAATACCATATTTTTTTACAAACGAGATATTCACTTTATAGCTCGTTACTCATGCAATAATGTGGTACTTCCTGTTTAGGAGGCTTTAAAGGGCACGGTGCCTGTTGAAGCTGCAGCTAAAGACTTTGAAGAAATGAAGGCTGAGCTAAATGAGGTCATTGCTGGGCAGCAGCATCGTTTGTTGGAGCTGTCACACTCCTACAGTGAAACCAAGAGTCAGCTGAGCGCCACTCAGAACCAGCTTGCAGAAGCCCGAGCTGGGGGCTTTGCAGAGTCTTCATCTTCTTCAGAGACACAAGCCGAGGGGCTGAAGAGCAGGGTAGAGGAGCTGCAGGCTTTGCTAGCTGAGACCGAGAGGAAGCTTTTGGCTGCACAAGAGGACATTCAGCGGCTAAAGCAGGAGGCAGAAGTCCAAGCACAGAGCTCTGTGACCCTCACCGACCACACACAGGTTGTGTCATCTCTGGGAAATGCCATCAAGGAGCTGGAAAGTGAGTTAGAAGCTGTGAGACGGCAGCTACACCAAAAGACCATGCTAGTTGAAACTCTGCAACAAAGGTGAGGAGAAAATCTGGCAACAGAAGCCTGAAAAACAAGAGTTTAAACTGTAGCTAATGCTACATATGATATGAGCTCACGTCGCTTGAAGAGATGTTTTGGCTTACGTACTTCAATTAACTATGTTTCTTATTTTCATAACCTGTATAGATTTGTTTAATGCTACATACATTTTAACAAAACTAGAGAAGGAAATTAACTGCACTTATTTATTGACCAGTTTAAATAGATTAAAATATTTGAAAAGTAAAATAAATGGCACTTTGTTAAAATTTCATCAATTACTGTTACATAATTTTTAAAGACGCTGTGTAAATTCTGAGGGATTATTTCTCACAGTTATTTACAAATCTAATTGTGAATTATCATTTTTTTTTGTTCTTGCTGGGATTCATCAATTATTAGACAACCTACTTAGTCTTGTTTGCATTCATAGTTGCAAATACAACCATGAATGGGGTTCATCTGTTTTGTCTTTGACTACATGTTTAGAGAAAAGATGTGACGTGCATTACTGAATCACATTAGTTTGTACAGATTACCATGTTTTTTTCTTGTATCTTTCTCATAAAAGCTTGACTTCTGAGAAAGATGTTACCCCAGATGATTCTGTCTCTCATCTGGAGCATGAGAACATGCGAGAACAAATGGAGCATGAGGTGAACCACCTGACGCAGCTCCTTCAGGGGGCTCTGAGGAAGCAGGATGAGATGGCTCTGGAGGCGGCTGATGCATGGCAAAAGGTGGGAGGATGTCATTAAAATTAACAAAAGCAAATCCGCATATGAAGACTTGAATCACTTTTAATCGTTCTCCTGTTTTTGTTAATGTTTCCTCTCATTCATCTGTTAGGCAAGAGATAATCGTGCAGAGCGGGAAGCCCTGCAGGAGCTGCTGGTGACCAGGGAGAAGGAGAGCCAGATGCTGACCTCCAAACTGGCTGAGTCCCAGGATGCTGTGTGTCAGCTCAAACAGCTGGTGGAGAATCACGTTGCCTCTGAAAGAGAGAAAAACAAGAGGGTCAGTGTAAATACCACCATCATTAATATGCTTTTTTTGCATAAAGATGCTGTAATAGTTATCTGTTGATTTTATATGCATTATACTGTTAGAATATTTGTTAAAAATCTGTTTAATCTGAACTCTATCTTTTTGCCTTTTAGATTGATGACTTGTCTCGAGAGGTAGGAAAGCTAAAGGATGCCTTAAACAGCCTGTCACAGCTCTCCTACAGCTCCTGCTCCCCCTCAAAGAGACAACACCAGAACCAGCACCTGGAGACCCTGCAGCAGCAAATCAAACAGCTGCAGTACCAACTAGCTGTAAGATCCTTTACAAGTAGCACGCTATATTTCCTATTTTTATGATAGCAGTTCTGCCATCTGTGTCATTTTTAGTGCTTTTTATTTGCTTTCATGGTGACAGAAAATGTTATTTTGTGGTGTCTTTTTAGGAATCAGAGAAGCAGCACCAAGAAACAGTGTCGGTGTACAGGATGCACCTTCTATATGCTGTTCAAGTAAATCCATCCTTTAATTATTGTTCTTTATTTGGCTACAGTTTTTTTTATTTTAGTGAAAACTTTGAATATTTATGCTGTGTCCAGGGTAACACTGCTGATGTATGTGATTAGGTGGTTTTGTCAGATTTTATACTGTATATAGCAGCAGCTATACGTACATATACATATATACACATACATACTTATACATATACATATATACACACATATACATATATATACATACATATACGTATACATACATACACATATACATACATACACATATATATATATATATATATATATATATATATATATATATATATATACATATACATATACATATACATATACACCTGGTTGGTTAGTTGACTGAACCTGTGCTGTGTCCCCTCAGGGTCAGATGGATGAGGATGTCCAGAAAGCCTTGAAGCAAATATTGAAGATGTGCAAAGTGCCAAACCAAGCCAAGGAGGCGTGCTGAGACACAACAGGGACGGTTCCACAAATTGTACATTTAGAGGCTGAAGACCGCCCAACACATTGTCTCTGTGGTTAAACCCAGAGTAGTTGTTTGTATGGAGTTTACAGCTTACATTGCCTTTGCAAAGGTCATTTTGAACCTTTACAGACCTTTTACCCCATGTATGTTCTTTATTGTATTTTGTATCTGCACAATATTTCTGTAAAAGAAGATGCTGAAAAAGATGTATAAACAAACTGAAAGCAGAAACGGTCAACCAGCTGTTTTGGAGCTGATTCAGGTTGTATTTTATTTGACGTTTAGCTCTCAGCACAGCCTGTAAGCTAAAGCATTCAACAAAACATCATTTGTAATTTTTGAAAAATCATCTTAAACTGATAGCTTAGATCTTTTGAAGTGGAATTTCATGGAAAGGTTCTGAACGAATAATATCTTACCTGATGTAGATAGCTTTTTGATTGACTGTAGTTTGGACAGATAGTTTATTTTTCACAAGATTAATGAGCTAATGCATAAATAAAATTAAACCTAGGCTGAAGTAGTTTGCTGTGTTCTTAAAACAGTTCCAGTGTCAAAACTTTAGTACTGGTTCATGAGAATGGGATTTTATAAACCTTTACATCGCCAATGGTTTTGCATGACATGGTTTACATATAATTCTCTGGTTATTTGCAAGGGCAGCTTACTGTAGCACTTCCTGTACAGTCTGGGGTGCATACAGTAGGAATATCACAACACTTTTGTTGTAAAAAACATGTAATGAGATACTGACAGGGATGTAAATGTTTTTAAATGATATTTGCATGAAAACTGTAATAAAATATTTTAGAATGAAGTTGTTTTATAAAGGCAGAAATCCACGTTGGTCTTGACTCAGCTCAAACTAGCGGTTAGCTCGTCAGTCCAGTCAGAATTAAACTCTTATTTCTCCAAACTGAGTTTCTTCCAAGATCTATCTACAACAGGTAAGATATTAATTGCTCATAACCATTCCACTGAACTTCAAAAGATTTAACACTTTTAGCTGGATGAGTTTTCAATTTGTGCAAATTCTGTTTTTAATTTATTCTGAATTCTGTTCTTTCAACTCAAGTAAGCCTTAAATAAAACCAAAATAGCCAAACAGCAAAACAACTCTAAACTGCATTTCTGCTCTCAACCCTGACATTTCCTTTAAAAAAAAGCCATATTTGCCTGACTAGTTAGTGTAACAAGTTTGAATCAAATGTTGACACAATCAAAACAAAAGGACACTACATCTGCAGGATGAATGTAAAGATGTTTGAATCGTGCAGGAGAACTTCATCTCAATGTAAAAAAAACTGATCTGTGAACAGCCAAATGAATGCAGTAACCAGCTCTTTATTTTGTGCATCACCAGCCAAATTTCTAATTCAACTCCATCTATAATAATAATACACACAAAAGCTGTCACGTTAAATGCAATCCATTGTTTAAGTTTGTGTACGGTCACACAAACATGCTGGATTTGTGCACTTATCAATTAAAAAGTTTATTTCGCTGTCATTTACGCTGTTAATAGAATATATTGTATGAAACAGCAGTGTTAGTATTAATCTAAATGTGTTAGTTTGGTTTTGTGGTCCCCTAAACGATGCGACAGCCTGGACTCACTTCGTCATGATGAAACTAAAATGTTTTCCAAGTTACTGTAATGTATTGAAGAGGTTGGCCAGCTGAACGAGAGCCTTGTGTGTGACGACTGACAAGCAATATTTGATTTCCAAGTCACTCCTGAATTAGTTTGTTTTCCTCCTGTCATTTGTATGAGAATTTGTTTATTGGTTTACGCGGTCGTTAAAAGTAAAAGGAAAACCATTTCTGTTGTTTGCAAATTTTATACTTGAAACTCTTATTGGCTGAAATATGATTGATTTTTCTGTCACAAGCCTGCAGTCAGTTTTTATATCAGGCTTCCCTTTACCATCTCAGAAATCTATCTACCACAAATATGTTTGTTTTTTTTGTCCAACACTATCATCTCTTTCAGCACTCCTCTGTAGGAACAGACTTACACTGTACATTGTTTTATATATATTTTTTAAGGTTCAGTTTTTAGTTCGTTTCCTTTGTATGTCTTCTGAGGGCCTCCGCACTCCTTTGCCTTAGCACTGATCTTAGAGCCATGCCATTTCTACTGAAAAGCTTTGGGCTGTTCAGCGCACATTCAACACGAAAACTGGGACTCGACGGGGATCAAATGAGTTTGTGTCTGGGTGAGTTAACTCAGGAAACAAGACTGAGACGTGTTGGACCCTGAGCAGAACCTCTGCAGGCCTTGTGTCTGTAGGCTGTACGTTATAAACTTTCTAATTCTTGACTGAAATGTTTTGTAAGGGAAAAACCAAGAAGCAGCCATTCTCCTTGTTTCTTTACTAACTGTTGTGTAGTGGCGAGAAAAAAAAAAGTTTGCCAACTGTATTTGCCCACTTTATTAAATTTTCAAGATACTGTACCATCGTCTGTGTATCTCATACTTCTGAAATTTTACTTGGATTAGAACGTAAAAGTGAAATTAGGTCGGCTAACACTAGTCATGGGAATAAGTACACCCTTTTCCATGTCTGTTTTTATGTATCTTGATGTAATAATGATGATCTTACCTGTCCAGGGTGTACTATGCCTCTCGCACAGTGATTGCTGGATATGGGCACCAGTGACTTCCACTACCCAGAAAGAAGAAGCGGGTAAAAATAATGGATGGATTAATTTTTTACCTGGTTCTAACATTATTTAAATCTAACCTCAAGTGTACAAATAATCAAACTCAATTCAAAAATACTTTTTTAATCCCAAAGGGAAATTGTTGTAGTTCATCATCCTTATTTCATTAAAGAGTTGTTCTAGATGCAGATCTAGGACAGAACTCCTCCCTGAAAGATGGCCACTCCTCCCAGTAGCCTGCCAAGCACCTTGTCCCCGCAGATGGAACTGCAGGTGTCTAGGACGATCCAGGGGCTCAGCGGTCAGGTACTCAAGCACCACCGCCAGGTCGATGGGAATGCATCCATGGAACCTCCCTTTCAACTCATCTGGGATTTGGAGCTGTAGCTGAGGTATTATTAGAACTTTTGAGATGTTAATCAGCAGCTCCCAGTTGTAGAAAACCACCTTGTTATGGTTATGCATCGTAACAAATGTTTAAAAGTAAAACAGGTTACTGTAAAAATCCTCATAGCTGCACAGCATCCTACCAGAGGAAATATGAGAAAACACGAGATTTTACAAACTCAAAACCAAAAAGAAACGTCTGGAAAACTAAGTCCATCCTGTGACATGGTAAAAAAAAAAATTGTAAGCTCAATCATCCTGGTAAATAAATCACAAAAAAAGATTAAATCATGTCAACTGGACCGTAGCAAAAATAACTTGTTTAGCAGCAGTAACTCTGTAGTTGTGACAATGTCTTATATATGGTGGATTTTTGGCCCACTCTTCTTTACATTTTTGCTTGTTTGTTGCAGTTTTCAGACATTTGTTTCTGTTCAGCTCTCCTAATGTCTCCACAGCTTTTCAGTCAGGTTGAAGTCTGGATTTAGACTGGACCATTGCCACTGCCATTGACCACCTTGATTATTTTTTAAGTCATTTTGCTGTAGATTGGTTGATTGGATTGTGTTTTTGCCAAGTATGCTGCTGTGCATTATGGGTAAACTTGTCTCATTTGTCTTAATAACATTGTTCCAGAGGTTAGTGGTTCATAAAGATGAAAATTTACATGAAAGTATCACATAAACTCACTGAGATAAGCTCTTGGATTTTCTGGCAGTTTCTGTGAACATTGTACAGTCTGACCTTGGGGTGAATTCGCTTAGATACCAGATCCTGGGGACTTTGGCAGCTGTCTTGAATATTTTCCACTTCCTAAGGTCTTTCTGATTGTAGAATGATGGGATCCAAATAGTTTGGAAACTGTTTAACCCTTCACAGACTGACGGACAGACAGTTGATTTCTCAATTTCAACTGCAACAAGGATGGATTTTTCGCACGCCAATTTCCCACTCTGGCTTTATTTTTCTTTAATAAACATTGACATAGTGGGATCTGTTGTGTGTGTTTGTACATATTAGGTAAGATTTGAAAATTTTTAGAATCCCATAAAGATCACGTGTTTAAGTCCTGATATGTAAAACCCTAGGATTGAAAGACGGTGAGTTCCTTTTTTCGTTTTTGCCGTGAACATGAAACATTTTAGCAAACAAATCGTTTAAATCTGCTTTTACATAAGAAAATAGAATTTCTATAAGACAACTGATTATTAACAGGTAAGAATATTAGCATTCCTATGTGCCCTTCATTTATGCTTTTTAGGTGGTTGTAATCAAGTCAAAGCAAATCACTTTAATTCAACATCACAAGTTTTTTTTTTTCAGTTTGGTAGCATCTGTAGCAGAAAACACAACTTTCCATATAATAAAACATTGAATATTTAATCTGCCAACACACTGCACAGCTAAGACGTGACCACCAGATGACAGCCTTGACCAACACTAGAAATTCACAATCAGGCTAGCCATGCCAAAGTTTTTTTTACTTTAACAAAATACATTTAAAACATCTAAATCAGCAATGAAGAGTAGAAACTGGATGTAATCCAATTTTTCTAAAATCTGAAAATGTGTTTTATTTTCAACATGATTATGTATAAATAAGTGGCCTTTTATCCCTTCAGTTAAAAACGAGGCACACTGGAGCTAATGCTCGCCTTTTCTCTACAAACTTGTCTTAAAACTCCTCAGCTCGTGCATTTTCATCATCACCTTCCTAAACCACTAGTGGATTTTAAACACTCCATGGTTTAGAGAAATAATCAGATGCTGTGCTTGTTTCTCTGTTTGGTCAGGCACAACATAATCCATGTCATCACTCCCTCAGTGTTGTCTCTCAGAAGTCCTGCCAGCTTGATTTGGAGTCATTTTATCTGCTGCTCTGTTTCCTCTAACTGGTGGCACAAGCGCTCCCATTTCCTGCCCTGGCCTAGTGTTTTGCCTGCTGGGCAAACACACACGCATGTGGGAAAACACACATACCTTTGCCTTTACACGACTACTTCCTGCCAGTGTTGCTTTCCCACAAGTCCTGCCCCCGGCCTGGTGGGCTACAGAGATCTGGTGCTGTGATCCCAATCCAGGAAGGGCCCACGTTTGTCGAGCATCCTGGGCTGAGGTGAAATCTCAAAGTTTTGAGTATGAGAGAGGCAGAATGCTCAGCGCAGTTGAAATGAAAATAAATGAACAATAAGAGATTTGGACTTTTTTTTTAATTGTAAAAAGAAATTATTCAATTTTTGCGGGGGAATAATCTGCACATTCAGTTGCTCTCATTTGGTTTGATTCATGCTCCACTTGTTTCCCCACTTGC